GATAGATAGATAGATAGATAGATGTTAAAAAACTTCACATCACGTTCCCCCCTGATGTCATTTACGTTGAGTTGCAATACATGCAAAACTCTCTGCAGGTTCTTGTTTTTGTCGTCCACTCTATTCAGCTGGCTTTGGAACACATGGCGAGAAGGTTGGGGCTGGTGGTGAGGGTTACCGGGGCGAGAAACGCAAAAGTAACGCATTAGTTACTTTTACTAGCAACTAGTTACTTTTATTGTGGAGTAACTCGGTTAGTAACTCAGTTACTTTTTCGGAGAAGTAACTAGTAACTATAACTAATTACTTTTTCAAAGTAACATGCCCAACACTGTTTATGATTATATAGAGACTATTAATAACACATGTGACAAAGTTTATTGAAGGAGCTGGTGCCTATTCAACCTCCTGTTGCGAGTGGCCTATGGTAAATGGTAAATGGCATTTACTTATATAGCACTTTTATTCAAGTCAGGAGACTTGACCAAAGCGCTTTACACTACATTCATTCACCCATTCACGTACACACTCACACACTGATGGTGGCAAGCTACATTGTAGCCACAGCTGCCCTGGGGCTCACTGACAGAAGTGGGGCTGCCGTACACTGGCGCCACCGGGCCCTCTGACCACCATCAGTAGACAATGCAGGTGAAGTGTCATAAGGACACAACGACACTGAAAGTCGGAGCCGGGGGTTGAACCGTCAATCCTTCGATTTCAGGGCAAACTCCTACATCCAACACCACTGTCGCCCTATGGCTACTTAAGGCTAGACATGCTGCTTCTCAGCTGACATCTAGACAAAGTTGGACTCCTTTCCTACGATTCAGAAGGAGCTGATAGTCTTTACCTGCGGTTCAGAGTTGAACACATTTATTTGTAAAAGTTTCAAATCAACTGAATCATGAATTTTTAGTATCTTAGAATGAATGAATAATAGATGGGAAGAATTTTTTATAATTACTATAATTGATAATTCCTAAAGCTCTTTTTTGCAAAATAAATAATGGTTTTATATAAGTTTTAAATGTGGATCCCCAGATTTCTACACAATAAATTAAGTATGGGAAAATCGATGAATTGTACAATGTTAACAAACCATAACAATGTAGCAAAGACATTACTTTATGTAAAACAGCAATGGCTAGAAATATGTTTTCCTATTATGTAATTTATGTTGAACTTCCAAATAAAATTTGTCTCATTATTAAATTTCGTTTAATTTCCACTGGGTCTAATTTAAATGATACATACATTTTCTCTGTATATGTAGCGGCTTAAATGCTATATTTCAGGCTACTGGTTGCTGTTGTTCCTGATAGGCTTTTTCTTACATGAACTCAATGAATAATTGCTGTGTAGGTCTTCAGTTGGACTTATTCATAAAGCCATTGATTTCTGAGGTCCATTGTCTTTCCATGCCCATTTAGAG